TTCTGATTGTTAAGTTAATCTTTAATTTATTTAATAGGGTATACAAGATATTGATGCAGTAAAACAAGCATTAGATATAATTCTACTTGATGATAATTTAAATTCAATTTTCAAAGCTGTTATATGGGGTCGTAGTATTTATGATCCAATAGCAAAAATTTTTCAATTTAAATTAATTGTTAATTTTGTTACTCTACTTTGTGTTTTTATTGGAGTATGTATTGTTAAAGAATCTCCATTGCGTATTGTATAAATGTTTTGAATTCATTTAATTATTGTTACATTGACATCATTGACACTTCCCTCTGAACATTTAAACAATGGATATGGTATCTTGTTTTTGGTGTTTCAGTTCTTCTATGGCAGCAAGTAAAACAAAAAAATTCAGTTTTATTTTATTTTACTTCATAATAAAATTTATTTATTTTAGGTGATTAATTTGATCCCGATAACATGTCATATACCGATATAGAATACAAATGATGTTGATGAACCAGTATTATCTGTTGTACTTAGATTCAAAAGAATAGTCAAGACTAGAAGCAAGTCTTACACAAGACAAAGCTTTGGTTTCGAGTAATAATATGTCTTCAAATGCAGGTATGTAAAAGAAAAAATAGAATTTTTAAATTTGCCATCCTCTTCTTCCTGCACGATATTTTCTTAAAACCTGTTTAATCTTTTTTTTTAAAGTTTTACTTTGTTAACGTCAATACATGTATACATTTGAATAATTATATTTAATGAAAATTAATGTACCTGATAATGATTATATATTCTGATAGAGATATTGAAGAGTTTTTTAATAAATCTACAATGAATATTTGTAACAGTAATTACCATCATCTAAATGAAGAGTGCATTTGCATTTTACGTCTGTTCATTAAATCATCCTAGAATGTCATAACATAAAAACTAGGTTCATCTATTTGTTTTTGAGATTTGATCCATCTGGTTGATAAATGTTTTATTTTTATCTCTGTGTTTTCCTTAACCATATTAATTGTAATGTATTTGAGTTTGTGTCTTTTTGTGGTTAGTATTTAATACCTTAAAAAACCTAAAGAGCAGGAAAAACAAATTCTTTTTTTGTTATATATTTTTACTAATTAAATACACCCTTTTGAAAAATTAATCAATCTTCTCTGATTTTGTTGTCTTTCATTAACATTATTTTACTTTTATCAAACGTTTTATTTGTTTAATTATTTGGCAGTTGACTTATTTGATAAAAGAAAAATATCTATTTTGTTTTTTCCTAACTTTATTAATACAATTCTAGGTTCGTGTGATAAACGCGTTTGAATATGCAGTTGAACGAAACTCGCCACAATTTACAACAGTAGATAGGTTACGAGCCGCCATTGTATCCAAAATATCATCTTATTATTGTGATATACAACGTCTTTATCTTCTTAGTAGCGTAACTATCTCTGACAATGAACCACTATTAATAAAATTCATTCAAGCAAACGAAGTTTAGAGCAAATTATATAACAAAACATTTACATTGGTGGGCTCGTTTTTCTCATACTTGCAAGCTTCATTTTTTTCCCTCTATTTCTATCTTTATATTAATTTTCTATTTTTTTGTTGCTTTCTTTTCTCACATATTTATGCGCATTTAAAAT